CAAACAGTTTCATTTTCTTTGACTATACTCAAATGTATCTTTTCATGCATGTTAGCTATCAATTCAATGTGTAACTATATTTCCTACTAGTTGATCATCTTTGATTCATTGGTATGATATTTTATCTAGGTTAAAGTAATTTGGAGCTTGTAACTTTGAATAGATTTTAATGTAATTTCTGAATATGTAAATTTTAATTGTTAAAAATTGAACTAATTACCAATAAATAGAATTTAACTTTAACATTAGTTGGCCAAAAAACAATGACTTTGCATGTAAATTTGAGATGAAGGGAGTATGAAAATTGATAAATTGTGTGGATTTTTGGAGGATGACTATACTTTAATTTCCTCTTAACCACTTGAAAAAATGGCATTGTTTGGTATTGGTATGATATGGTACCGTCTCGTTTGAAAATGGAACTGTACATAACGGGTTTAGGTATAAAACCGAACCGGACCGTTTGAATAGTCACGGTACTGGTACGGGTTCGGCCAAATATTGGACCGGACCGCACCCACCCCTAGGAGTAACTCTGTATATGAGGAAGGATGGCGTTATTGCAATAGGAAGGTTTTGAAAGACTCAATAATAGAATTGCAAAGACATGGAGCAGCTCTTGAAAACTGACTAGACGAATTGCTTGAATCGTACTCCCTTCGTATCATTTAGTTGCCACAAGTTTTTTTTAGTTTATCAAATTATTTGTCACATTTCGCTTTTTGGAAAGAAACTACAGTTGTAATATTACTACGGTATTGCTACAGTACTAAAAACCTCTTAATTTTATAAAGTCTATAATAATTATCTTAAACTCCGTGAAAAGCAAAATTATAAATGAGACAATTAAAATGATACAAAGGGAGTATGTCATTACTTATTAAAATAAAGATATCTATTGCAAAGTGCAAACCATATATTCTATCCAATTCATGATTCGGTAAACCCCTACAGGCCTAGAGACATACTCCGTATTAACAACAAAAAATCTCATTCCAACGCGCTGTATATATATAAGACTAGAAATAGCTAATCTTTGCATTCGTGAGCTGAAGTTAGGGGCGGGCAAGAATCCCGGTCCCGTTGTCCCATTCCGGTATATCCCGAAACCGTACCGGTGTTGTCCCGTTCCGTTTGGGTCTCATTGATTTTGTCCCGCACCGGTCCCGTACCGGTTTAAAACGGGACGGGACCGGGACATTGGAAGGTTATCCCGAACCGTCCCGTTGTCCCGTTTGTAATAACTATATAGATTTTGTAGCATGTGACTAGTGTGTAATGTCAACTCAAAAAATAAATGGTAACATGTTTTTAGTTCTTCAAGCCCAATTTTTAAATTAAAAATAATACCTAACATGAATATTTACTAACATCGATTTTTATCCCACTTTATATATCTACATATGAGTATCTCACTGCTAGAACACATGATTTTGAATAAACTAATTCATTTTTCCTTTGTTTTAAATTTAAATTTAAAATTTTGCTAAACCTAACTAAAATCTAATACGTAGTAGCTTTTAGCTTGTGATGAACATCAATTAACTTTTAAAATGTTAATATTTTGGTGCATGATACTTTAGAAATGCTAATATATATTAATTACAAATGATTATTTTTTGTTAGTTTGGGACGTCTCGAACTGTCCCGAACCGTTCCGAACCATCCCGGTCCCGATTTAAATGGGACAAGACTAGGACAAAGGCTTGTCCCGTACCGTCCCGTCCCGTTATTATTAATTGGGACGGGAGTACGGGACTGGGATAACCCTAATCCCGAACCATCCCGACCCATGCCCACCCCTAGCTGAAGTTATTGTCGGCTTTAACTTGTGAAAGTGCACAAATGTGAATATAAACAATTAAACAGTCAAACTCCAAATAGTTAATAACTTCCGTATTTTTTTTGTTTTACTAACGAGCCTTCTAAATTAATATTTGAGGCAATTTTGCATATTAATCCCCATAGTTTCTTTATTTTCAAGTTCTAAATGCAGCCCGTTTTAGTTGGGGGGGGAGCGCTCCGGAACGGTCCGGACAGGGGCGGACCGTAGTAGACCCGGGGGCCTATTGCCCCCCCCCCCCCAACAAAAAAATATTAGTGTATATATGTACGAAAAATAATTTCCGCTCTTTCAAAAAATATTTTGTTTAAATTACCGCCCTTCCAAGATGAATTTTCTAGGTCCGCCCCTGGGTCTAGAGTAAAACCTGTAATGTATCTGTGAGGTTTTTAGCGGTCTGGTACGGTCCGGTTTCAAGGATGGAACCGTTCGGTACCATGTCGTTTCGGAACGGTACAAAAAGGTACGGTACAATGTCAAACACATGCTAAAATTTTTGAACAAATCTTGCAATTAGTTGATATCATCACACCAAACATCTCACATGAAATGTTGATATAAATACAAGAAATTGCGTATATAAGACTAAAACTCACAAATAAACAAATAATGCAACACAACTAAGAAAGAGTACATCAAAACGATTACGCACGAGATACATATCCTACATAATTTACTTAGTTCATGCGAAAATATAAAAAAAGAATATCATCAAATTGTTGAATATAATAGAAACCCTCGACGTTCTTCTTCATACTAGGTTAAATATTACTCCGTAGTTCTAATTTAGTTTATAGATGATCCTTGAAAGCTCAGATTTTAACCATATTAATTAAGTTGTAAAATTGCACAAACATTATACAACAAAAAGTCATGTACGCTAACATTACTAGAAATGAAGTCATTAATGATTTCTCTAAAATTTTAATATTCTTTCAATACATACCAAAATATAACATAAATTATCTAAAAAGAAAAAATAATATATATATATATATATATATATATATATATATATATATATATATAACACATTTAGCTATTTTAAGAACGTATAAATACACACTTGGGCTATAAAATTGTTGGTCTATAAAAGAGATCTATTGAATTGGTATAGAAAAATATAAAAAATTCAAGTGCATTATTTTTGAACGGTTCGGACCGGTATTTTTTTGTTCTCAAAATCGATAAACGTTCATGTACCCGTTTCAAACGGTACAATTTCGGTACGAGACAAAATATATAGAACCGTTTAAATACCCGATATTCTGTTCGGTATCATTACGGGACAGTTCGGTACCGGTTCGGGTTTTATGCCCACCCCCTAGTAGTCTTGGACCCAGTTCGCGCCGCCCGGCCCGTGGACCGGCCCGGCCCGCTACTGTGTGGGCCCAGAACTGGCCCGGTTCTCGAGTCCGGTTCAGTGCCCGAACCGGTGGGGGGTCCGGGCTTGATTTTGGCGACTCGGCCCGGGTCCGGGCCTAACGGCCATAATTTAAAAAAAAAATCCATTTTTTTGTAAAGAGCCGTTTGGCTCTTAACCCACTTCCCAAACGGCTATATAGCCGTCGGGTGGGTACCGGGGGGTACGGGGCTTTTGGGGGGTGGGGGGGGGGGTGATAAAAAAAAGTCTATAAATACTCCTAATTTTTAACATTTTTTCACACCTCTTCTCAAACTCTTCCTAAATCCTACTCTCTACTCTCTACTCTCTACTCATCTCCATATTCAACTTATATATACATCTACTTAATATATACTTTATATATTAAAGTATTAAATATACTTTATAAACTATTAGTATATACTTAATACATAATAATATCTACTTCTCTACTTATATTTCATATCTAATTATTTTCTTATTCTCCAATCTCCATTATACTTTACTAGTAACTTCTTATACAATTGTTATATATACTTATATATTAATTATCTACTTATATCTACTTAATACATACATTCTACATCTACTAAATAGCTCCCAAACGGCTCTATAGCCTTTGGGGCTTTGGGTGGGGGGCAGGGGGGTCCCGAGGGTGGTGGTGTGGGGAGTGGGATTCAAAAAAATCTATAAATACATCTATTTTCTAACATTTTTCTACACCTCTTCTGCAACCCTTCTCCATATTCATCTTATCCTACATTCCTACTTATACATCTACCATTTTAAAGATGGAAAGTAAATCTTCCCTTATGCAAAACAATTTTGATAAGTGGAAGGAGCCGAAGATCAGACTGTGGTGGGCAACTTGCAAGTGGTGCAAGAAAGAGTATAGCTTGGAGCGTACACAAAGATACATGATGCCAATAAAACATATGAAGTCCTATGACAAAGACAAAACAACAACCAACGGTGGCGGAAATCCCAATTGATATTTATTAGAAAATGTATTTCATATTGTTACTTTTTTCTCAATTCTCAAATGTAGTTCCTATTTCAAATAAATGCACTTGAATTTTATTTTTAATAAGAATTTGTATAAAATATAATTAAAAAAATTAAATTAAATATGACCCGGGTCGGCCCGGCAGGTGGCCCGACCCGTGACCCGGGCGGGTGACCCGGTCCGGCCGGCACCGGCCATAGCACAGGCCGGTCCTTGGCCTACCTATAACAAACCCGAGGCCCGACCGGGCCTTGGCCCGGCCTAACCCGGGTCCATCACTAACCCCTACTTTCAGTAGACTGTATCCCATATCTGTGCAAGTGTGCAACCATGCAAGTGTCCAATCATAGCTTCAGGATGCAGTAGGATGGACTGGACCAATTCGGCCCAACCCGGTACCCAGCACGGCCCGTTAACGTGCAGGACCGGACCAGCCGGGACCGAGACTGGAGGCCTGAACCGTGGGCTTTAGGGAAGAGCTACAGGATGCTTATTTGGTGGACCAGCCCAGTGGGTCATTTGGGGGGTTGGGGGTAGGAATAAATAAGAAAAACTGACTTTAAAAAAAAAAAAAAAAAAAAAAAAAAAAAAAAAAAAAAAAAAAAAACTAGACCCGACCAGGGCGCGGTGCCAACCTAGGCCGGTACCAGCCTACATCCCAAAACCCCAGTCCCGCCCAAATCCCGGCCCAGAGCCTGGCACAACCCGGGCCTGGTCCATGCCTAGGATGCAGTGCAACCTGTCCCAAGAGAGATATTGCCTACTACTTTAAGACAACTCATCAATGATTCCAATAAAGCCAAGTTGTTCTTGAATAATCAAGAGTCAATTTTAACATTAAACGTTTTAACATTTTACAGGTCTCCACAATTATCAAAATTAATTTAAATGAGTCAATATCTCACTAAAATCATTAAGCCTCAAGATTTTGAATTCTCTAGAAGATTAGCTAAAGATCCAACAACACCAAAATCAGTAACTTCACCAAAACAAAGCTCTCCAGAAACCAAATGCCAATCGACACTTCAGATTCAGCAATAAGACTATCGGGCAGCCTGTGTTTGAGCCTGAGCATGCTCAAGAAGCTGACTGACTAATTTGTATGTCCGCCCGGAAAGAGATTTGGTATGATCAATTAGCTGCTCATACCTGTGCACGATCAAAAAAGATAAATCAATCTATATAAACAATCGATGAACTGTTGATGAATCACTCTATTTTTCGGTCAAACTTACACGTTGGGTTGGGTAGGTTCCATTATTACGGTTCCAGTCAAAGAATCGATCTTGGCATCAAGCTTAGATGTCCTGATAAGACTCACGATCCATCTCTCGGCATCATCATAATTCAAATTTAGTTTCTCAGCCAGAACCCTGTCCAAATCAATGGCCTCGCAAAATATTAGCATTGAAAGAACATTTTTTATTTCTAAGAAAAACAAAAAATAAATTAATCATGTTAAAATAGGTCCTTATTTAGTCAACAATCAATGTGGAAGCTGTCACATTGTCATGTTTAAGGCAGACATAATAATACTATTTTAGTCGAGCAAATCTGGGGATGAGCAGTTTTAATTCTTTTGGGAGAGAATCTTGAAACAGGACTTTTTGGGGAAGACGTAATTTTTATTAGTTTGTATAATGTTAGGGTTATGAAAATGGCACTTATTTTCTGGATTCAATAGAAGGAACATTAGGTGGAGATAGATGGAGATTTTAAATAAATTTGTCATTGAGAAATGATGACAAGCACTCAGTACAAACCCCATATCGATGCGTTGATGAATACGGCAGTAGGTCTCAAAGATAAAAAGACGAGCATTCTCAAGGAATTCATCCCTCAATGGCACAGTTGAAAAATTTCCCTCTTCAACACGTTTTCCGAGGAACGGGTCATTCAGTATTACCTAGACATAAAAAAACAATCAGAGGTCATTAAAATCTATCAAGATACCAATTTATGAAGAAAAGTACATATATACTCAAGATACCAAAGAAAGAATCAGATATGAAACCACTTTATAGGAATAGATTTACCTCTTCACACTCTTTCATCTTTTGTTGTGCAGCATCAAAGTCATAGTTGACATAAACACAGGCCAAAAACTCAGTAATGGGGTCAGCATAAGAGTACTGGTCTGGTTGAATAACCTTAATAAAATCTTTAAACTGAGGTCTTCTGCGTTTGTTAACAATGAATGCTGTAGCCAGATACCGCAATAGATGGGGTGCATTGGTTTGGATGGCATTCAAGTACCTGGAATCAATTAGTCTACTTTTATATATGTACTTACCACTAATGGAAACTTCAGAAATAAAAAAAATAAAAAAAAAATAAAAAAAATGGAAACTTCACAAATATAGAGAGAAGAAGTTTGACCAACTTTCTTTACCCAAATTGGTAATTCTGAGCGATAATAAAATGAAGTACATTAACATTACAATTACAAGGGAATTTCTTCCTAGATCCAGTCAAAGACAAAATATAACTATGGTAGGGGCAAAGCATGCATGTGAGTGCATATAAGATGAATGAGAAGAAGAATCAATAAAAACAAATCAAGTGACATAAAAGGGAGCAAATAAACAAAGCATCCTTACTTGTCTTGATTAAACAGGTCAATGATCAGGGACCTTCCATTGTCATGGTTGAAGAAGATGAACAGACTCCAATGCATTAACCAAATTCTGCCTTGAACTTGATGCAATGGTGTCGAGAAACTCTGCAGAGATATCAAAGTTGAAAAACCCAATTAGCTTAACTTTTCTGCTAGCAGACTAAGCCAAATGTAAAATGAAACATCTATACGATTTTTGTAAAGAAACTAATGATGGAACAAGAAATTGCCTTTGAGTCAATAATTTCCTTCAGGCGATTCAGTTCCTCTAGGGCAATATCCCAATTCTGCATTAATATCTCAGCTGCTAGCTTTCCCCATGATGCACTCAGAATTCTGTCACTGTTTGTGCAGAGAGCACGGTATTGATATAGATAATCAGCAGCACCAGAATAGTTTCCACACTCAAACTGAAATTTGGCATATTGATACAATGCCTCAATTTGCTCTGCGCCGATCTGAGAGGAAGAAACACAAAAATAAATTGTGAAACAAAATAAAGAGATTCCTTGTTCAAAGATATGAATTACATGCTTGTCAATGCCTCCTGTCTAAATGAGTGTTAAACATATTTCACATTCAATGTTGAACTGTTTCAAATGTGAGAATCTGAAATCTAGCATGCCGCCTTTGATACTTAGACTAGTCATCAACTTTGTATTCAGTTATTGAAGGCTATGTCATTGTTATTTCAAATAAAGTGAGCTATAATGAACCATACAAACCTGATAACGGTCATTAAGTAATTGAAGATTGTGCTGTTTGTCAGCTCTTAACTCTTGAACTGCATTTGCATTCTGCAAAAAGTCGACCAAGGGAGCTGCACTCTCCTCTAGTGCTTTCAACCTTGCAACAACCTCAACTCTTCGATCCACCATTTCTGAATATAAATCAACAAATAAGCATACCTACTAAGATAAAATTAGAAAATAGTACACACTTAATAATTCTAAAGATCAGCTTTATATACAAAATCAGAAACATGAGGCAACTTGTAGACAGCAAAATATAATAGACATAATAGAAGTTACAATGTCCTAGAAGCCTTTACATTTACTTCAGAAATATTGAATATTTAAATCATGGATATAAAAGGAAAATAAGAAACCGGATGCATGTTAAGGATCAAGCCAACAAAAGATACAAAATATACTAATTACCACGGCCAAAAAGTGGACTTAATTGCATATTCTTAATGGTGGATCTTGTTTTTTAGAATAACAAAAAAAATGCAAAAAAAATATAGAAGGAAAAATATATTGTAGCTAGAAATAGAACACCATAAACCAAAAATCTGAGTGTAGACAGAAATTGAGTGGAGATTAAAGGGAAGTCGCTGGGTGCTGTAGAACAAACAAATACATAAAACTATTAAAAGAGCTTTTTAAAAGTATGGATGTGGGTAAATCATGGAAAAGAGAAGTCACCTATAAAAAAGATGAAAACTTTCCCACATACATCACAACACAAAGAGAAATCTGGTTTAACAAACAAAATCAAAGGGATGCACGATAGAAGAAGGCAGGTGAAAAAACGACAGTATCATGCATACTTGTACTCCGGTTGTAGGATAAAATTGCAAATACAATAGCACACGCATACTGTAAATAGGGAATTCCATATAATAACCATCAGGACCTTGATCTGTGGCTAAATAGCACATTACAGAAAAGAGGTCCACATATAGAAACGAAAGATGTAAACTTCGCACAAACACGGTTCCAAAAAACATCTGATTCCGGTAGTAGCAAAAAATCTAAAGCAAAACATTGTATGCAGATAGATGAAGTATAGAGAATGCCTTGAGGAACATCTTCGGTGTGATAGAGGGACTTGAATATGTCCATAGAATAATCAACCATGTTGGTATCTTTGAGAAGCTCAATTTTGGTCTTTAGAATATCCTCATCCGGGTAGAATTGCCGCTCTTGAAGGAACTCAAGCATGGGGAATACCAGGTGGCGGTCGAGCTGCGGCGCTATCCGCGGTGTCAGATCGAACTTCGCCGCCATAGTTGCTGTACTGTGCTAAGATGGAGATTGGGCTGAACAGCTTCGTCCTCACAATCGGGAAGACAATAACAGAGATTTTGATGAGAGTTACTAGGGTTTCGTTTTATTAACGTATCGGACTAGTAATTATGTTTCTTTTGATATTTGCGAAACTCCCCTCCATGTTCCTCATATCATAGTATAAGCCCCACAAATGCATATTTGTAAACGGATAAATAACGTTATTACACACAATGGCCAACTCGCCCCTATAGCTCAGTGGTAGAGCGCCAGTCTTGTAAACTGGAGGTCTGTAGTTCGATCCTGCATGGGGGCAGACTATTTTAATATTTTTACTTTTCTAATTTATTAATTATTATTTTTTTGGAAAGTTCTAATTTATTAATTATATAATAATTCTTCCTTTAAGTGAAACATTTATTATAAAATAAATGAACTAAAATCAATATTTCTAAATGAATTTATTGGCTTATTTCTAGTTAGTTAAATTCATTTAATTAGCAATACTCTTTACATGAATTTTTTATATATATACAATATTGCATGTAAATAATTATAATACGGATTAATAATATTGATGGTGTAATAATTGCTGCTAAAAAAATAGTGATGGGGAAATAACCGCCGCCAAAAAAAAAAATTGATGGTGTAGCATTAATGCACTAGAACTAAGTAGATATTTTGTATGTTTTATTGTATTTGAATTTTGTTTACCCATGGTCTGTGAATCGGACTTAGGGGTGTTTGATCTGATTCTTAAAACCGTTTCTGCTGATGCAAAAGTTGGAGTGTTTGGGTGAAAGTACAGAAGTTATTATGCTGATCTAATTTACTTCTAGAATCAGTTTTTTTAGAAGTTGGGGGAGACCAGCTTATGAAAACTGATTATGATTCTGTTTTTGCTTTAAAAAAGAAGTAGAAGCGAAATCAATTCCAAAGGCCGATTGTGCTAATAAAAGTGGTAAAAAAATTGTGTAAAGTGCATAGATGTTTAGTTGATTATATAAATATAGGGGAAAGGGGCAAATAAGCCTTCGAACTAACCAAAAAAATGCAAATCATCTCTTATATAGGAGGTTCTGTCCGGCAGCGTCATTTTGGGAGGTTCCTGGAGGAATTTTTTTATGAAGTTTTTTGAGAATCTTCTTCATTAAGTCTAGTTTACTTATACCAAATTTCAGATAAAAATTCAATCGGGAAGCAGTCAAATGAATTTTGAAGATAACTATGCAGTTAAACATCGCATTATATTTCAAAACATTATTTGACTGTCTTCCTGATTTTATTTTTAGCTGAAATTTGGTATGAGTAAACTGGACTTAATGAAGAAGATGCTCAAAACATTGCATCAAAAAAATTCACCGGGAACCACCTCAAATGACAACGGCCGGACAGAACCTCCTATACAAAGGGTGATTTGCACTTTTTTTGTTAGTTCGAGGGCGTATTTGCCATTTTCCCATAAATATATATATTAAAACGACTGAGTCATCGGGGTTCACTTAAACATTAACTATAATTTCTTTGCCAAGTCTTATGAGTAAGATATCAATATATTTTTCACAACTCTAGTTAAGCCAATGAAAGTGTTGTTTTATCACATATTCATATAATCAAGGGAAAAGGGGTAAAACCCCTTCAAGTTGTCACCCAAGGATATCTATGCTCTTAAACTTTTTTTTGGGACAAAAAGCTTTATAATCAATGAAAGGAGGGCAAATCACCCCCTAGTTAACGGTGTACCATTTAACGGAAGTGGCAACTATTAAATTTGTTCTTTAGTTATTAAATTTTTTTTTTATTATGACCGTATATATCACTATAAACCTGAATTTTATTTGGATTTAAAAAAAAAATTCAGTTGGAGTAATTTAAAAGATTAGATGCAAATATTGTAGTCTTGGAGTAATTTAAATAAATGCAACACGTTGCATTAGATCAAAAGATTAGATGCAATTATTATGAATACATTTTATGACCAGCTGGTCTAATAAATTTTAGATACAAAAATATTCTAGATTTACATTAGATCTTTTAAAATATCGAACTAAATTACCTTCAGTTTTTTTTTCTAATATTTTTTTGCAAATCTTTTTTATATTATATTGATACTTAGTCCTTATTATGACCGTAATCTTTTAATATTTTTTTTTAATTTCAGCTGGAGTAATTTAAATAAATGCAACACGTAGAATTTTAGTTCGATTCGGAGTACATTGCCAAAAATTTTAGATAATAGTTTTTTAAAATATACGGAGTACATTGCCAAAAAAAATATACGGAATATAAAGAATACAATTAATTTGTATTGTATTTGTTTTTTTAATGGATATGTTGTACTCGCATTTGTTATTCATAATAAATCGACAATTGCGTAATACTTCTCTCGTTCTTAAATAAGTGCTAGAGTTCACTTTTTCATATTTGACTATTTGTTAATGCATAACTTTGACTATTAAAATATACCCCATCCGCCCCTGAATTATCTTCCAAAGTTGGTTTTGCATGGGAATGAAAAAAGAGAAAATTGTGTGCTGGAGAATTGTACTTAAGAGAGAGAAAAACGTGTAAGAATGTGTAAAACATGTTGTGAGTCATAAATTCTTTACAAAAAAAAGATTATTTTGAGATGAAAGAAAAATTAAATTTGAAAAATAATTTAGGAACAGAGCGAGCATAATTTTCTATTAATAAATATTTAAAAATATTCAATGAGACAAATTTAAAAATATTTTCAAAAATAATAATTTATTTATAATTAATAAATAAAGCGTACTAAAAGTAGAGCATGTCATAGTATAACAATCAACATATTGCACTTATTTAAGATGAGAGGAAGTATGTCTTGATTTTAGTACCAACATATTTTTAATTTACTTTTTTTAATATAACACACACAAGCTGAAAGTAAAAGAAAAATATCAAAAACATTGTCAGATTTTAATTGTTATACACGGTCATGGTAACCAAAGGAAAAAAAATAGAAGTGGGAAGTTCCCACTTCCGTTAACTCGTTCACCGTTAACATGGGGTGGTTGCCCTCAATTCACTACTTTTAAAGCTTTTTGCACAAAAATAAGTTTAAGGGCATAGATATCCTTTGGTGATAACTTGAGGGGCTTTTTGCCCCTTTTCCCTATAATCAACTAAAAATCCTTGCACTTTACATAATTTCTAAAACTCGCTACATACGAATCCTTAACGGCTCCCATTTATTTAGAGAAAAACCTTATTAATTATTTAGTCATCACACATGTACCATACCAGATCAAGTATATTCCTATCTTCAACACTTTATATGTTTATTCTTCTGCAGAATGATCTATATTGCAACTTTTATTTATAATATAAAACCTCTAAATGTTACGTACTTATTTGTTATGGTTCCTCTTAGGGATGGCAATTGTGACCGATTCGATGGAAACCCACACCGAACCGCCCCAGTCAAAGCGGGGAAAACTGCATTGACGGGATAATGGGTACGGGGCGGGGAATACCCATTTTGTTTTTACGGGTAACTGGGCGGTTATGGTTTCATACATGTCTGCCCCATTACCCGCCTCGTACTCGCCCCGTTTATTTTAATTATGTTTTAATTATTATTTTTTTATCTATTCTTTCTCTCACAACTACTAACTATGGTGTATGAATATAAGTTCATAATAGATCTATATTTTAATAGTCTTGTTTGATTATTAAAGTGTTGTCTGAGTCTAGATCATAATAGGCTCACTTTTTTTAAGGAATAGACTCACATAATAAAGCGATTACCCGCGGTTATACTCGTTACCCGTTCGGACGGTTACGGTTTGGGTAAAAATTACCCGTTGGATAATGGGACGGTTACGGGGCGGAGGAATTACCCAATGGGGCGAGTACAGTTATATGTATAATCGTCCCCGATCCGCCCCGTTGTCATCCCTAGTTCCTCTTGACTGCAAGAAATACTTAAAAATATTCGTTAATTGATGTGTTTGTTTTTTTACAACTGCAACTAAAGGGGAGCAACAACTACCAAAAAATTTTAGTAGTGTTGAAACATGGTTGGGTATGGATTTAGTTCCAAGGAGAGTAAAATGTGAAAGACTCTTATAATGTGCAGTTGATATTTCAGCATTAGTTACTTCATATCCATACATAGGTATACTCTTATGATGCATAACATATACGGAGTAGATAATTAAGTTTATAAAGAATAAATCGTAATATATTAATTTGGAACTATTATAAAAAGTAGTAGACATATTGGTTCATCTTGAGCCTTGGATTGTGCATACCTTGGAATAGAGTCTTGGCCTCTAACACTAATATTAATCAAGATTACAATGTTTTAGATGTAGAAAAATATAAAAACACAAAGAAAATATTACATAAACAATGAGTTATCACACCTCAAGAACACCATAAATGAACAAAGAACAAATATTAAGCTACAAACTTACTAATGAACTGAATGGTTCATTTGGGATAGATTAGAGGGGTTAATAGGCTAGGAAATTATCTTTGATAATCTATTTGGGCTGGAATTTTTTAGGCATACCCTCTAACTCTCTACATTTCAGCTGAAAAATATATTGCACGCCTTGATATGTTTTTGCATATTCCCCAACTCCGGAGCAGATTATGGGATACATCCTTAATTTTGACATCGGAAACATGAATATTTGCATCTCTGATGCCAAAGTTGGGGTGGGTCTGGCGCCGGTTTGTGTTAGTGATTTTTTGGCAAGTTTAGACTCATCGGATGATCAAAACCCGGTGCCGAAGTTGTCTTCACTCAAACATTTTTTCCTCATCTTTTGATCCTCGTGAATGACCTAAAATTATCGGGTTTTGATTTATTTCAACTTGTGACCTATCTTTTGTCTCTTTTGACCACAATTGATGTTTGTGCTCAACCGAATGTGATTGTCTCATTTTTCTTCTTTTTCACTCTACATACTCGGGTATAATTACTCATGTAAAACACAAGTAGTCATTTATACTATAGTTATTATATTACATTTGAAATTTTTAAAGATTTGGGGTGAGCTCCAACCTTGGGGAGCTCACCCCTACATGACTACATCTGCCCATGAGTTTTAGAAAACAAGATAACATTCTTCTATTT